ATTTCTTAGCTAAGGGAGCCAGCATTGTCCAAAGATGTGGCCAGCATGACTATATGCCACGACTAGGTGTGGGATTCTACCGGTTCGGATTGGTTCAGGTGAACCAGTAGCTCCGATGATCAGCTGGGAGAGAACCGGTTCGTTCCGATGATCAGATGGGCCCACCCGCCCGCTCGCACTATTTTACTACCTTTATCTTTTCAACTGATACGCGCAGCAGAGAAGATTCTGATTCTGCCACATGAATCAGCTGTGTTATTCCTTTGAAGAAACCCGTAAGTGAAAATTTCTTCAAATTATGCATACATGCACAGCACACATCAGGCATGGGCCCTCCTACAAATCACATGATCCCCAAAATAGTTGTTAAATCTAGAGCATCCCATGACTGGCATATAGAACACTGTTACCTTCCCACTGAAGTGGTATCTATTTATCTACTTGCATTTGCATGCTTTCAAACCGCTAGATTGGCAGGAGTGGGGACAAGTCATAAGAGCTCACACCATTGCTCAGCACTCAGGTCTTGAACCTAGGATATCATCTTTCAAGCTAATAAGTCCAGTGTCCTTAACCGCTGAGCTATCATGCCCCTCTTACCCATATATACCCTCTTGTAATATAGCATTATTAGAAAAAAACTGAGAGCAGTTTGCTTTTGGAGTTATTTTTGGATTTACCTTTTTCTTAAAAGAAAATAATAAGATCCCTATATCATCTATTGCCCTTTAAAAGAATAGAAACTTTCATGCTAAAAGCGTGGAGCTCCATTCATGTTAGGACTGCTAGGAGAAATTTAGCTATTTCAGAATTCTTCCTCAAAATAGAGTGGTCAGAATTCTGCAATCCCACAAAAATACGATGAACATCTTAAAATGCTAATGTACACGTGTATAAATGCCCAAATAATACATTTTTGTTACATCAGATGTTGGTGAAACATTTTAGGCTTACAAAAGCAGAGTTCCTCAAGTCAAACTGAACTCTTTGTAACTAGAAGGATGGACAACTAATCATGTAAATTCATTTTTCCTCAGCTCATCTGAAAATTAAGAGTCCAATTGTAAACATTTGATAAATGTTAAGTGATGGTGGAGAAATATTGTTTGCTAAATTAGCCTCTCCTTTTACTTGCCAAAGCAAATAGTGGTCTACAAATGAAAATACCGAGGAGTCACTTCAATGGGCCTATGCATCCTCCTTTGTTCAATTAATGAACATAGTCTTACAGTGTCTTTGTTGGGATCATTAAATCACTAGTTCTCTTGTCAATCATCTATTTATGTCTTCTTAATAAAACCATGGACTACAATAATAAATATAAATCCATTTCCTGGAGCATAGCTTCATGCAGTATTGGCTCTCTGCCATTGGAACAGTAACAATAGTGGCAATAAAAGCCAGGCTAACTACCTACAAAAAATTGTGTAGCAATAGCACTTAGACTTATATACCACTTCATAGTGCTTTACAGCCTTCTCTAAGCAATTTACAGAGTCAGCATATTGCCCCTAACAATCTGTCTCCTCATTTTACTCAACTCGGAAGGATGGAAGGCTGAGTCAACCTTGAGCCAGTGAGGATTGAACTGCTGGCAGAGTTAACCTGCAATATTGCATTCTAACCACTGCACCACCATGGCTCCTTATTCTAACCAATGTGCCACCACTTGGCCAAATGACAAACTACAAGAGATATATTATTCCTTCTAAAAGTAGTAAAGAGCTGTTATTATTTATTAATTGTTATAATTTTGTCTGCTTTTCTTTGATTTGCCTCCTTTCTGCTTCATTCAAAAATTCCACATAAGGATCTATTCTTGCATGCATGCATTTCCTTTGACGACTATCCATGAGGGCTACTTCCATTTTGAAGGAATGTCCCATGTATTAAAACTGCTGCCTCTTCTTTTCTATACAAGTAGCTCATGAGGCACTGTGAACATACATGTATGAAATTCACAAAACTATTCATAGCGGTCACTATTTATAGCTTGTAACCTCATTGAACAGCCAAGATGAAATTGGATCTCCTTCACTCTTAGCTAAAAACACTTTTCTTTTTGCATGTCCTGGAAAAAAGCCAATTTACTAGTTCCATTAACTTAATAAGGTTTGACAGCCTACACAACTTTTCTCATAATCTTTCTAGGGGTTTAAATGTGATGCTGTAAAATCATTTGGGTAGCTTCTAAACTCATTCCATTCCTACAGAAACCAATTTATGATCTTTGTAGCAAAATAAAGATGACTTACAAGGATTTTCTTCTTTTTTTCTATTTTTCTGATATAAATACTACATTTACATATTTATTATTTAATATGAAGATATATTTGATGTAAATTTCTGTATTACATTTAATATGTGCTTTTGAGAGATGAATTCAACATCATGAATTCTTGAAGAAATTGTTCATTGTAAATAATTATATGTTGATTGTAAATAATTATATGCATGAAAATTGTGAAAAAGTGTATACAATGTCAAAGTAATTATTTACACAAGGCGAATTCTTTCTGATTTATAATACATTTTAATGGTTAGTGCCTGCTGAAACTTTTGTTGTGCTATTAAAACCCACAACCAGGCATGACATTTCAACAAAGTTCTCTCACTTAGGATAGTGTTGCAGAGAGTAATTTGTAGCCATGAGGTAGATTTTTTTTACATGTTCCTTGATTCCTTCATTTCAAAATAATTGCTTTTTGAAATATTACAAATTATAGTAAAGATATTCATTTTGAGTGTGCTTAACAGTTTTGTGATTTTTGCATTAAACAAAAAACGCCGGGATCTACAGCAGGGCTCACCAAACTTGGCAACTTTAAGACTTGTGGACTTCAACTTCGAGAATTCTCCTGGCTTAAGGAATTCTGAGATTTGAAGTCTACACGTTGACAAGTTTGAAGACCCCTGAGCTACAGAAATAGGTTAGCACAAAATAAAAAAAATCAGGGGGCAATTTATACAAGACTGGCAGATGTGGTCATGGATGTCTTTAAGCTATAGGGTGCCAACAAAGCTTCTTCTGGAACATTGAATTGTACCCTTACATAAATTAGTAATTGTCACTTGAAACAATTTTAAATGTTTAGCATAATCTGGGTAACAATGGGTTTTTATCAATATGGCTGATCATCAGCTTTTATCCATCAGACCACCAGCTTTTAGCATAGCTACTAATTAGAAATAATGGGAGCTGTAGTTTAATTACATCATATATAATTACATCTTCAGAGTCACATATTTCCCACTGTTGCATTAATAACAGTAATTCTTCTATGTACATCAGGCAGATGTGATTTATTAGGTTTAATTCTTTCTTTTAAACATTAAGCAAGCCGTCAGGTAATGGAATTGAGACAGAGTCAAATATCAGTGCCAGAGTCAGCTGAATCCATACCGACAGCTCAATACATCAAAAGTATTTCAGGGCAGTGTAGCGGTTTTAAAAATACCAAGAATTCAGTCCTAGAATAGTCTACAGTGCAAGGATCCACACAATTACCCGAGTACTGAAAATGAATAAGCCGGGTTATCTTCAGATGGTGAGCCTAAAATGTTTCACCAACATCTGAGGTAACAAAAATGAGATCATTTTCAGTTGTATCTCAAAAGTTATAAGCATTAATTAAGCTGAAATGCATCAATTGTCACTAGGGTTTGGGTCTACTCTGGGGCAATACTGAAGCCTGAACTTCCAACAGCTACTTGCAAGCATACAATTCCAGGCCTCTCAGACTATATAGCAATAGCACTTAGACTTATATACAGCTTCAATCAGCTTAAAGAGTCAGCATATTGTCCCTAACAATTACCAGTAGTATGCGATGTCACATAGACCATAAGTGGTGGACCGGGGTCAGTGGTGGGTTTCAAAAAATTTTAGAACCTCTTCTGTAGGTGTGGGAGTGGCTTGCTGGCCATGTGACTGGGTTGGAGTGGCTTGCCGGCCACGTGACCGGGTGGGAGTGGCTTGCCAGCCATGTGACTGGGTGGGCNGTCAACCTTGAGCCGTGAGATTAGAACCGCTGAACTGCAGATAACAGTCAGCTGAAGTGGCCTGCAGTACTGCACCCTAACCACTGCGCCACCTCAGCTCCTGTTTAGAGAAGGCTGTAAAGCCTTCTCTAAACCGTTTAGAGAAGGCTGTAAAGCACTGTGAAGCAGTATATAAGTCTAAGTGCTATTTCTATTGCTATCCTTACTCAGTAACAAAAATGAGAACATTTGCACAGGTTGCTCCTGTGATTTGGTCTCTTTAATAGGTAGGTGCCTCTTTCTTGTCTTTCATCAGTATTAAATTGACTTTAGTGAAGCAAAGATTATTACTTTGAATGAATAGAACAGTCTTGCTTGACACACATCCAGCCAAGTGCATATTAGAGGCCCGTGCAAAGACAGTTCCCTTTTGTTAGAACAGGTATGATAGGGATTTTTTAAAATAATAATATGATTCCATACTTGGTACCAAACAATAATTCATTTGAGGACTGAAGCAGATTGGCATGTGGCACAAAATGGAGGCATCCCTATTAAACCAATATTTTAAATTAATTGTTCTAGTAATCCAACTGGGATTAGTGGTAATGGCATATTCTCAAAGTATACTTTCTTGTCTATTTGGTAGGAGCTGATATGTTATTTCTTGTAATGGCTGGTTTTATATTCTTAGCTTTGTGGAGTATTGTGATTCCAGTGAAATCAATGTGCCCTTTTCTTTAGAGCTTTCAGATACTTGGCTAATGCATCATGGAAAGAATATTAGCTTTGGCTGCACTCCAGGCCTTAGCTTCAACCAACAGTCAACTAAAATCCATGCACTTTCAGTGTAACCAATGGTGACTTGAAAAGGAGTAGGGAAGATTCAGTGGGCCAGGATGTTATTTTTTTTTCATGACTTAATATTGTGAAAGATATTCAGTTGTAGCATAAATAATAAATAATTTGTACATGGTTTTTAGTTTTGCCTTCGTGACCCTTCTTTTTTTTCTTTACAGTTTGAAAGAACATCACCGTTCTGCCATTAAAGTGATACGCCGTATGCAGTATTTTGTGGCAAAGAAGAAATTTCAGGTGAATTGTTGACAAAGTACTTTTTTTAATGAATCCCCCTTTTTCTCTTTTTTCTGTTCTTGCTTCTTTTCATTCTTAAACAAGGAAAGAACATATTCTAAATCCATTTTAATATCATTGAGTTACACCTACTCTTCTCCCTGTTCTTCAATAGGGTGACTGCTTATCAGCAAGTTAGTCAACTGTGGCTGCAATGAGAACAGGCTAAGTTTCTGAAATGCAGCCTGAATTAAAATGTTATTTTCTACTAATGGACTTGACCTTTCCCCTTTTGTTATCTCTGTCTCCTTCCAATGCAAACATTCTCATGTGTCTTCATTAATTCTGAGCTGCCTCTGGCTGATTTAATGGACCTAGAGATTAGAACTCTACCTTAACCTTGTTTCTATCTCACATTAATTGAGATTTTGATACAAAGCCTAGAACCAAATTAACATTTCTTGGGATTATAGGCATATTGTCCTGCATTTTTCATAATATTGTTTACCTTGGAATGTAATAGCATAGACAGAACTGTGTTTATTGCAAGCAAACAAGCAAAGGGGTAAACGATCTTATTCTAGCATGATTCAGCAAGTGAGGAAATAATAATGGTTGGATTGAAATACTAGTTTAACAAAAGGGTCTATGGTATAGAGGTTAGTAGTATATAATTACTATTGCATATTTAATTTTTTCTCTCTCCCACTTTCCCAATCTAGAAAGAGATAATTGCACTAAAAAGTAATAGAAATCTTACTCAACCTTTCTGTCTAGATTCTAAAATTCAGCAAATGTTTTCTATAAATGTTTAAACACATATTTCCAACCAAAAGGTCTGAAAACATTGTTTTTTTTAAAAAAATGTTATACATTCACAGGAAGTATAATTCTCTACTTGATTATTTCCTAATGCTCCTAGGGATTACGAGCAATCAGAAATTGTGGCTAGAGAAAAGTTTTCAACAAAAAGTTTAGGAGGCCTTAGTCTGATGAAGATTTTATAAATACTTATTAAAAATGTATGCTCTTTAATAATTAAGCAGAAGTAGGCACTCTATTTTACTATTATGATTATGATAAGGTTCTACCTGAAGCCACACAAATCCTCAGAGACCACATTTGATAATTTACAGAAATTTCAGCTATTTTCCTCTCCCAACAACAGGGAAGTTAGGGACTATGGAGATTCTCAGTCATCATGGTTGTCCCAAAGGTGCTTTTTCAAGAAGCTTAGGCTTTTCTTTTTGAAATTACAAAGCAGATTTTAATCAAGATAATGGTAAATAGATAAGACTGGATATCATCATTGATTGGAAAGAGCAAAGAGAGAGAAAAACACAACAATTTGCATAGTCATTCATCTCTCTACTGTTGCAGCCTTAGAGCATGCTTCAGTTTACTGGGGAAGGAAATGAATGGTATTATCAGGAATAGTAAAATAATTTATTTCCTTCTACAGCATCTGGCTTTATCAAAGATACTGTAGAAAAGCCGTACCGCTGGTTCTACTACAAGATCAATGTCATCAAGTTCTTTCTTACACAAACTCCAAACATATTTTTTTTATTGATTTAATTGAGCAAAATAGAATTTATGTTGCAATATTACAGGTTTCTTCACATCTCTTTCCATTTTTCTAATTAAAATTCAGCTGACCTATTTGCAGTCACAGTCTTTTATCATGTAAAGCTGTGCAATCAGTACAACTAAGAAGTGGAATTTGGAACTGGTAAAAAATATATCAAACTATCTCTTTTCTAATGACTACCGGAAAATTGTTTTCCACATCTGATTCACAGAATGAGACCTATCTGTAATCAGAAATAGTGACTTAAGTGTTCAAGGAGCAGTAGAATTCCAAAGAATCAAATTCGAAGTATAAATATCTTCCTATTGTGATATTTCTTTTTGGGATAAACAATGATATGCAAAACACACAATATAAAGTAATAAAATAATAAAAGGCAGGAGGTATGGGGGGAAAAATTAACTAAAACCAGTTGATATCAACACTATTTACTATACCGCTCCATCCTTAGATATCCACTAAATCATAATTAATGTATATATTGTGTTTTGTTCTTTGAATTTCTTGTCTTTCTCTTTTTGATGAACTCATGAATTCTGTCCAACCATACCTTTCTTCCTCTTTCCTCTAAAATCTTCATATTTGTTTATGTGTTCAGTCCATTTTTAATGGACTGCTTTCTCTCCATTTAAGCATCTCTCCTGTTTTCCCCCACTCCAATTAACTTTTCTACATTTATACATATTCCTATACATTCATTTTTTTACCACTTGTTTCAATAAACATTCTTTACCACAGACAACATACTGCCTTCTATCTTTTTATTGGTACTTGTACATCTTAACTTTTCTATTTTCCTATGCTTAGTAAAAATTCTATCAGTGCAAAATAACATCTGCTTGCTTCAATTTGTTGCTGTTTATATATATAGCTTTCAACCATTCACTCAATTCCCTATCAAAACAATTTCCTTAGTCATTGATTCATTCATGTTTAAATCCCCTGCTGCCTTGTTATATCAGTCTATCTAGAAAACTTTCAGTTTCTTAACAAACAATAAAACACTGTCTGCATAAAAAGACCACTTGCCTTCATATCCCCAATTAGCATACCTCATAACAAGCTTTCCTTATCCATCTATATATAAATGCATTAAGGAGCTCATGGACACCATATATCCTTGCCTTGGTCATTGTTTCAAGTTGAACTATTCCCTAAGCATTCCGTTCGTTGTCACATATATTTTACTTCCCTCATATAGCATTCTTATCTCATTCACAAACATCCTTCTAGTCTGTATTCATGCAAAATATTTCATATTTCAAACTTCTTATCATATGCTTTCTATAAATCAACAGGCATATATTAAAACTTTTGTCACATTCACATAAGAAGACTAAGGCATTGCTAAAGTTGAAATATCTGTTTGGCGCACTTCTTGCCTTGAATAAAGCTGTGCTATATTTGCCAAAAGTGTTTTTCAATCATGTCTTACATGCTGTTGATCAGAATTCAGCACTTGATAAGTTAATCCTTTTGTAGTTTTGCATTCTCTCTGGTTAACATTCTGTTTTTGTAATGGAGTAATAATGGCATTTTTCCAATCATCAGCCATGTCTACAGTCTTTGCATAGACAATTAACCAAGTCAGACAGCCATTCCATAAGCAACTACATTGATATTTTAATGCTGATATATCTTTCATTTATTAAAACAGATTTGCCAAATGTTTGAAAGAAAGGAACATCAAGAAGCAGGAAACACAGAACTCCAATACCTTGAAATATTCTAGAATTCTCATTTTATAGAGCAGCTTCTCCAATTTAGAAAGCAACATTTCAGATATATTAGATAGTAACTTCAGAACATCCTGCTTTGACTTAATTTTTCTTTAGGGCAACAGGTACTAACTCTCATAGTACATTTACAGTCTAATATTTTAATAGTATGGTTAGTCACTTCCTTAATAAATATTTATTTAAGAATATAAGAAGAACTATATCCCATCAAACCAAAGGTCCATCGAATCCAGCATCCTGCTTCCTGCAGTAATAAACCGGATATCTCTGGGATATCTACAAGCAGGACACGACCACTGAAACAGTTACTAAAATAAATAATAAAAGTTACTATACAAGTTTAGGGCCCCACAAGGGTCTGTTGTGGCTTTCAATGATGTCACTAGACGCTCTTGATGTATTTATAGCTTTAGATTTCAAAGTGTCACCACAAACTGGGCAGTGTTTTATACGTAATTAAGTTACCTTGCTATCAATCAAGAACTGTGTGTGCAATTTTCTGTAATCACTTCAGAGGGCTTTCTAGCAAACAAAATAGTTCAAAGTTCTTTGTACTTCAAAGAATGTTACACACGNTTTTTTTAAACAATGTTTATATCATAATTTTAGGATGGCACAAACATTTTCCCAACTGCAAACATGCACAGATGTCATCGCTCCTTCCCCCTCGAGAAGAAATCTCTAGCAGAGCTGGACTGATGTGGAAGAGAGAATGATGGGCATGATTTTTTCCCCTACTTGCACTTCCCCTGTTCCAGCAATACCCCTCGCATCCCCCTTGTCTTACAAGTTTGCCTCCCTAAAGGGCTATTGGGTTCCAGTTGCATGCATTTGCATGCCTTGTATAATTTGCCATAAAGTTTTTTTTTTATAAAGAAAACCATGCATATCCCTTGTATCTTTCAATACATCATGTTAAAGGAGGCCCAACTGAAAAAAACTAAGATAAAAATGCAGGATAATAGAATGGGAGCCTTCAAGACAATAAACAAACTGTCTTCGGATGATCCATAGTGCTAGAGGAATTATCTCTAATGTGTTGGCATTAGTTCTCCAGTTGCCTGATAAAGATTACGTTGAGAAAGCTTTCTGCTATTAAAAGCCCTCTTCCCCCCTCCTTCACTGAAATATAGCCTGACATTCAAAACCAGAGGCCTGCTTTTACCAGGTATTTCTTTATAAAAGAGATCCTAATCTCAATAAGATAAACTGCTTAAATAAAACTTGGTGAAAGAACAGGCTGAATAGCAGATTATGCGCTAACTATTTTTAAAAAGTCTGCTTTTCAACAATTCTGTATCCTCAAGGAAGCTGTTGTTTTAGACGTTATCCGAGCATGCATTGACTTGTTTGGGTTAATGTTTTAAATATTAATTAATAATGTATTGAGAAAAGCTGCTTTAATTTTTGTTTATGTTTATAGATAAAAATTAGCAAAGAATCAGTAAATAGAACTTCTTCATCCTTCTAATCCTTTTTCTCCCTCTATATTTTATATACTACTTTAAATTCTAGGCATTACATCTTAGCCATCTGAAATCTGCACTGCATTGCATAAGGAATCCAGGTGGCATAGATCAACTCCATTCACTCAAGGATGAATAAACGCACATAAACCACAGGTGTCAAACCTGCAGCGTCAGGTTGCTGTCTTATGACATTTCATGACTTTTTTTCCCTTTGTGGAGCTGGGGCTGGCATGGCCTGCCCATTTTAAATGCGGCCCATGGGCCACCAGTTTGACACTCCTGATTACTTATATATATATAAGTAATATAGATAGATAGATAGATAGATAGATAGATAGATAGATAGATAGATAGATAGATAGATAGATAGATAGATAGATAGATA